AAGTGTAACTAAAGATAATTTTTAGAGAAGATTTTGAATTTGTGTATCTAAATATCATATTTAGAGAAGATTTTATAAGTGTAACTAATGAGGACTTTTAGAGAAGATTTGTTAATAGTGTCACTAAAGCTACTATCTTTAGAGAAGCTTTTTCATTACCTTCTCTAAAAGTATTTTTTTAGTAACTCTTATAAACCGTCACAAATACTTTAAAAGCGTCACTAATATATATACTTTTAGAGAAGCTTTGAATAAAAAGTTGACTAACCTTTAGAGAAGTTTTGGACGTGTATCTAAAGCCTCAAATAAGCGTCTCTAAAGGCTAACAAAAACGCACCCTCCGAAAACCCTCTCTAAAACCTTCACCTACCGTTACACTGAGAAGCTCTCTGACAAAATTGAAAAGCTTATCTAAAGGCTTTAGAGAAGCTTTTAAGACTTTTAAGTACAAAACAATACCTTTTCTAAAGGTCATTTTTCTTGTAGTGACCTCGTTTGATAACCATAATGATCGTGAGCTTCACAACCTTTCACCTTTTTACCATACATCAGATGCCAAAATCACCCTTAATCTATTATTTTATTCCTTTTTTTCAAATACCCCTCACCTTCCCTCCCATTATATATACCTATCCTCACCACCATTGTTACATTTTACGCTCAAAAATCCTCTTGAACGAGAAAGGCAACCTGCAACTTATTTCTTTCAACAATGGCTTCCTCCTCCACTTCCCATGACTCGAACAACAAGGAAAGTCAAGTCCAGTCAACCGGGGACGAAAACCGTGCCCTCATTTTCCTCCCGATCAAACCCAACAACCACCACATTGATCTTCGTCCTCAACTGTTTGAAGACAGGTTCACCATCCTGGTAGAGTTCTTCCAAAACTGTATCTTGCAGCCGACCTTAACCCTATCTGACAATGAAGTTCTGTAACATCTCACTTAAGAAACCCAAGGTTACCAATTTTTACAAAATCTCCAATAAAATACAGTTTATTGATTGTTAGGAACAAAATTGATCTTAATTATTCTAAAAGTTTTATCAAAGCAATCAAGGATGGAAAAATCTGAAGATGCTGCTGAAACGCCTAAGTCTGGAGGAAGACCAGAGCCCCTATGGACGGACCAGAGGCTATGAATGGACAGAGGCTATGAATGGACAAGAGCCTATGAATGGACCAGAGGCTATGAATGGACCAGAGCCTATGAATGGACCAGAGGCTATGAATGGACCAGAGGCTATGAATGGTCAACACTTTGTAACACACAGATCTGGGTTTAACATTGATTAGCCTCGAAATACGGGATATTAATTTTTTAGAAAAACTTTGAAATATCCATTCTATTTTAGTAATAAAACCACCTCAAACACAATTCCAAACCGGATATAACGGAGTTTTTACTTACAACCCGAATTAAGTAGCAAAAGAATACGACATACTTATAACCTAAACAAGACTATATTCAAGCTACACTTACTACATCTGTGAGATACGGTAATAAGCTACTATTTACCAAAAGCAAGTTCGTAACCTTCAAGTTCCTCGATAAATCTTCAAGTCACACCACAGGTTCTTTCTTTTTATCCGTCTTCTTTCCTGAGAGAGGTTGCCACTTAAATGGTAAGCCAACGCTTAGTGAGTTAAATAAGTATTACATATCAATACCGCACATGTTTATAAACATACATAATAAACTCTTATCAATAAAATAGTTCAAGACATCATCTAAATGCAAACCGAGACTTACAAGAAACCGAGTGAACAATTATGTACCGGACGCTAAGATCATAGAATTCCATATTCAAATCACCATACCAATGATGCTCAATACAACAAGGAAACAAGATCAATAACCAAATATATTTAACAATTGTTAGAATACCAATAAATATCAAGAACCAAGCGATCGAATCGGTAAACATAACGAAGACAGTGCATCACCCCGTCCTTCACCTTCCGGGCTCATGCCAAAGTCCGAGTCAGAATCATACATTTAGGGAAACCTCGCACTGCCCGCCTTCCTCTACCGGGTATGTGCCAAGGTTCCTACTCATTGCTCTTCCTCCTTTTTGAGCAATGAGTATTCACAACTGCAGAAAGTCTCACCTGTCCAACCCGGGATCTTGACTTTGCCATAAAATTCTAGCGTGCCACACGAAGTAGTACCCATACTATGGCGTACAATTCAAGGAACAAAACAACGAGTCCGAATCCAGAAAGCAAACCGATGTACCGAGATAGTAATATGGAGTAGACTTAAGAGACGGAATCAAAGAATAGTCAAGATCGTGTGACTCAATTCAAGACCAAAAACATTCAAACGAAAAAAATATTTATATATATATATATATATATAAATGTTCAAATCAATATGTAACAATTAACTCACCGAGTGACCGTATAATACCGAAAAGCTCCAAAATGAGCTCACAAAGCAAGTCCAAGCTACCACACTTAGAATGGTTCCAAAGCATCAAAACATGTCCTAATTCCCCCCTGGAGTGAATGTACAAAATCTCATAAGCAACCAATATAAGAAACTCATGATATACACATATCCTATTTGAACACTTTACCTAAATTTCTATGTACAGCTGCTGCATGCAGAACTATTTTTCCCATTTTAAACTCGAATTCATGTCTTGATCATAAAATAAGAAATAAACTAGGCTTAATTATATAACTAGGGAAATTGGCCTCACCTCATTTGGATTTTTCTATGATTTTATACAGTTTTTCAAATTCTACACATTTTTAGTGCATTCTTAAGTCGAAATTCTCATTTTCATACATTTTTCTCAAATCATTTCGATCCCAAATTATTCCAACTTCTAAATTTCAACTTAATATAACATATTTGACRTAAACAACCAAAATCCAACCTTTATTTTATCATTTATATTATCTCCCAAATCATTGACTTGATCAAGTCAAAGTTCATATGATGAACTTGCTTAAATCTTGATAATCTATTGAATCTAATGACCATTTCATGCCATAAACACTAAAATGCACTCATTTTATACACTTAAGATCAAACCCATATGAAACAGTAACTCTATCACAGACTTGTCGATCATAGGATAGCATACTTGATTCATTAAGTCCATAAACGCTGCAGGTGCGTTTGTAAGTCCGAATGGCATTACGAGGAATTCGTAATGCCCATAGTGGGTCTGAAAGACAGTCTTGGGTACATCTTCCTCCTGTAACTTGAGTTGGTGATAGCCAAACCGTAAATCGATTTTAGAAAAATATCTCGCTCCTTGCAACTGATCAAAGAGATCGTCAATTCGCGGTAATGGATATTTGTTCTTTATAGGTACCTTGTTAAGCTCACG